TGAGACGAGTTCCGACCACCAAGCGATATCCTTCAGGCTGGTGGAAAATTCAGAAAGTTCCCACGGTACTGCCAAGGGTTATCTAACCCGAAGGGCAGATTGGAATGCCTTCCGGTCGACGCTGGAGGGAAAATTGGTAGATGATGAATGGGATGAAGCGGAAATAGAACAGACTAATGACCTGGATTACAGGGTGTCTAGGATCACTAATATTGTCTGTGATGCCGCTGAGGAATCCCTTCAGCACCGGAAGGCGAAAGCTCGACCTGTTCCATGGTGGACGCCGGCCTTAACAAACCTTAAGAGAGAGCTCTACAAGGCACGGCGGTTGTATCAGAGGTGTAGTTGCGACGAGAGGCGCTCTACACTCCGTGATCAGTACAAGTCCAAGGCCCGGGTGTACCGAAACGAGGTGCGTTCACAGAAGAAAAAGTCCTGGGATGAGTTCATTGTTGAAGAGTCCACGAAGAATCCCTGGGGTATTCCTTATAGGGTAGCCATGGGGAAGTTTAGTACGCAGCAAACATTGGCAGCCCTCAAGCACGGAGACGTCCAGGCAACCAACTTCGAGGAGGCAGCCGAAATCTTCATTGCGAGGACGTACCCCAGGGATGATCCGTCTCAAGACAGCGATGAGGAAAATATCGTGAGACGCACCACGGCATACCCACCTGATACGGCCTTGTGCCCACGATGGGACATATATGATCTCCGTATTGCTGTGGATAAGCAGAAAATCGGTCGTGCTCCAGGACTCGATGCTATAGATGCGGCGATCCTAAAGAGTAGTATTCCCTACATTGATGAGAGACTTTTGGGAATATATAATGATTGTCTGGAGAGGGGATACTTTCCCAAAACCTGGAAGATCGCCGATTTGAGACTCCTCTACAAGGGAGGGAATAGGGATAAACAGCTCCCCAAGTCCTATAGACCAATATGCCTCCTCCCTGTGATGAGCAAGGTCCTGGAGAACCTTATCATGACCAGTCTAGCACCAGTTCTTGCCAGAGCAAGTCATCCACGGCAATACGGCTCCACTAAGGGGAAGGGAACCGCTGATGCCCTGCTGAGAGTACGTGAAGACGTTGAACTGAGGACGGAGCGGTATGTCATGTTGATGCTATTCGACATATCCTCCGCCTTCGACAGCGTCTGGTGGCCTCTTGTGCTCCAGCAGCTGCAGAAATATGATGCTCCCAGTAACTTATATGCCTTGATAAGAAGCTACTTACAGGATAGACGTGTTAAGGTTCGTGGCAGTTCTTATGAGACTGAAGCTTTCATAGAGAGGGGATGTCCTCAAGGATCGGTACTTGGTCCAGCTTTATGGAAGCTCGTTTTTGATGAGTTATTGGGAGTGTTAGAAGAACAGCGGTTCCCTGCCACTGGATACGTTGACGATTTGGCAGTAGTGGTGGCCTCCAATAGCATAGCCGGCTTAAGACAAGAAGCGGAACGATGCGCCAACTTGGTCGGAGAATGGTGCGAGAGGAAAAAGTTATCAATGGCCGCTTCAAAGACTCATACAATTGTCATGAAAGGGAAAACTGACAGGGCACACCCTATTAACATAACGGTTCAAGGTTCGAGAATACGTCCAAGTGAGGTGGTCACTTATCTAGGCGTAAAATTTGGGAAAAAATTCAGCGTTACCCCTCACTTGGACTATCTTAAAAACAGGGTGGCCCTATCTTTGAACGGTCTCAGTCGGGTTGGGGGCGCTTTCTGGGGCCTCAGATACCCAGCAACCTTAACAATTTATAAGGGAGTGATTCTGGGTATCATGAGGTATGCGTCTCCCGCCTGGAACCAGAACCTCTCGCACCGACAGAAGAGTAAGTTGGCGACAATACAGCGAACGGCATTGCTGCGGGTCACCAGGTCGTATCGAAGCGTATCCCATGAGGCGGTGCAGGTATTAGCAGGAGGGGTACCTCTCGACCTTCTCCTGCGAGAAGATATGATGAGGCACATGTTTAAGAAAAACGGCTCAGCAGGTCTACCGGAACATCTTAAGGTGAGAATTGACGAGAATCCTTGCAAATGGAAAAACATTATACGGGACGACACATTGGAGGAATGGAACCGGCGGTGGGTGATAACCCCCAAAGGATCTACCTTGAGGAAGTACTTCCCCACCGTCCGGTCACGTTTAGAAGCAAGGTGGATCGTCCCAGACTATTGGATCTCGCAATTTCTCACAGGCCATGGGGGCTTTCGAGCAAAGCTTCATTGCCATGGGATGGACATCGACCCCCTATGCCCTAGCTGCGGTGTTCCGGAGACTGCTGAGCACATCATAGTGGACTGCACCGCCTTTGAAGAACTAAGGGCTAAGTTACTGAGGGAAACCGGTCTCTACATTCTCACAGAGAACGATTTTCCTCAGTTAGTCACTGCGGAAAACTACCCGTACTACAAAGATTTTGTGTACGGGTGGAAAGTCGCGGTGGGGCCAGCCCATTTTAATTTAAGAAGAGGAGGAAGAGGTACTATACCATTGGCGTGAAACGGATGAGGAAAGCACCCATGAAGAAAGAGGAAAAAATGAAGAAAGAGCAGAAGAAGAACGAGATTCATTTGCAGCAGTGAGATGTTGAGCTGACCTGCCTAACATCTTACTATTGCAGACACCCGTATTGCCTACTAGGCACGGCAGGGTTGATAAATAAATAAATTTTGTTACTTTAGTGCTGGATCCAACCTCTAGCTAGTGACCCTTCAAATGCATCTAAACTTAAGTGGGTATTCTTAATTTAATAATTACTTAAGAGGGAAAAAACCGACATTTGAGCGTGATGTCAGATCACTTCCTTGCATAACCTCTTTGATCAAGAGCAATACTATACATTGCACAGAGAATAATTGAGAAAGTAGACAAATGGTGGTGGAATGGGCATCGTTGACATCTCAAAAGCCACCTTCTGCAAGAATAGTGAAAAGTTATTAACTGATCCCTTTAATTTTTTTTTCTAGGTCTAAATGAGTAGTTTGTGGTGCCATTTTCGATTTACTAAATTATTCCCTGTCACTCCAGGGAAGTATATTTTTTTTGGATTCTATGAGGTTCTAATTTAAGGAAGTTGTACTTACTATACACCCTTATTACTTACTATAACTTACTACAACTATTCCTCCTGTACCTATAGCACCAATGCACCATACCGCCCCCATGGACCCTAGAATGGCGTGGTTAAGGATAATCCATCGACAGGACGGTCCACCTGCGGAGAGTGTTGTGGCAGCTGCGAACAGGGAGCGGGCAGTGGGCTGAAAAAACAGCTAATTAGCCGACCGCTGAACAAATATGGGCGGGTGTGTACTCAGGGAAACGATCTTAGGGGTTCTCCCGGAGGTCAAAGGAAAACAACCCGTCCAACATTATATAACCAAAACCAGGCTCTGATGTCAGCGCTATGTATAATATGGTGAATGTGAAAAATCATTAATGCAACTAATTTTATAGTTCTGGCCGACAAAAATAATTAACATTAATAATTCATATGGTGCGAATGAACTCTTTTCTCACATTGCCCAAGTTTTGAAAAACGATAAATAAATGGAAAGATTTTTTTCCTACTTTGAGACTTCATGTTTTAGTATTCATCTCGGGGGGAATAAAAACTCTTTTAGGCCTAGTGATGTTATAATAAGTATTTTTTTCTATGTAACTTTTACATTTTACTTTCACCAAATGTATGTTGGGTATTATATCTAATTCAATATTTTTTTTTTCAATATCTGTTGTATTTTCCCCCTCAAACTTAATGGTTATTGTTTCCACTTATTTTCTATAATATATCCTATATATTCCTTAATATATCTATATCCTACGCCTACAACCTTCTCCAATTCAAGTCCTCAGTCCACTCCCTCTCCACAAGATCTCGACCTTCCGACCTTTACATTCCTTCTCACAGATCTGCCTCGTTCCAAAACTCCTTTATTGCACGTTCTGTTAGTTTCTGGAATTCCCTTCCTATCAAAATTCGACATTCTTCATCCTTATCTACATTCAAAACCCTCCTATTCCAATTCCTGTCCCGAAAACAGTCAGGCACCAGCTAATCTTTTATGTAAAATTACATATTATCTATAAGACCATATTCACACATAGCTCATGACCTGAATACTTATTGAATAGATTCGACTTTCTTTTTCTTTTTTTTTTTTTTCAACAGAAACAGATTTTACTGTTAAGAAGAATATACATTTATTTTTTCTGTATTTTTTATTTTTTCTAAAAGGGTTTATTTATATTTTAACATTGTACATAGTTTTAAGTATCTTAGTATGGTTTCAAGAGTTTTTTATACAGATTTTTTTATTTTATTTTGTATATAGTATGTATAACCAATATTTTTTTCTTTTCTTTTCTTTAATGACCTATCATTATCTTAATTTGTTATGTTTGTTTTTATCTGGCCAGATGTAAAATTTTAATTTCTGTACTTTTTTTGTTATTCTAAAGGGACTTCGTCCCAGAATAAAATTATTTTTCTATTTCTATTTCTATATATTTTTTAGAATGTACCACCACTACAGCTTATAGAGGTCTATAGTTCAGTTCTAAGGAACTACTTTTTCAACATCAATAGGAGGTGATTGGGGCGAGATCACGCTTAACCCTAAGATATTTCCCCTTAATTAATTATTTAATTGAGAGTATTCACTTTACAGAAGTAGAGAATAGAGGAAATAACCCAGAACCACCCACACTTCCCAGGAGTCCAGATATCTTCGGAATCCAGATATGATCCTCGGTTGGTGTAAGAGAATAAATAATTAATAAGTTGTTCGTTTTGGCATCGCATCTTCTGATTAGCTAAGCAGTTATTAATTTTACATAATTGGTTATGTAGTTGCATGTATTGAATTGATTTTTTTTAAAAATTAAATTTATCGTTAATACCATTATTTTCTCTAAGTTATCTATAGATAACATTATTAGATAAACAATTTATACTTGATTTAAATTTTTTTTCTTTTTGTTAATAATTCTTTTTTCTTAATGATATTTTGTACCAAATCATCTGCATGAGCTGAAAATATCCATTAAAGAAAATTAGGAAATTGATAAACGCTTCATACTGCTGCAAAAACTTTTCTTGAAAAATATATAAATTATTAATAACAATTTAAAATATGTAGATAAGAGATTAACAATTATAAACACGAGGAAAACCTCTATTCATTTAAACAAAATTTGAAAACAAATTAAAATACATAACATATTAGCATTATATCGATTAAGAGATTCGATCCGAAGCCGTTTGGCTTTAATAAAGATTGACGAATATAAAAATAACACAAATAGTCAATAATATTTTGAGTAGCATTATATAACATGCTCACAGCACTCTCTTCTATTAAACTATTTCCCTCAGCAATGACGTTAATTACGAAGTGAGGAGGTGTAAAACACTCGTTTGAGGAACATGAGGTATACCGTGCTGCACTTTTTAACAAACTTGAATTTAACGTAGTTATTTTCACTAAAGTCGATTATCACTGTCAATTTACTGGTTCAGAGAAGTGAGCGATGATCAAGAATACTAATTTGTGGAATAAGCGTGCAGAGGGAGTGTATTCGTTTCAAGTTGATGATATAAAACTAGCGAGGTATAAGGTTGCCATATCTAATACTGTTGTTCACAATGACTAAAGATCTCGATCCGCTCGCAGCCATTGTCATTATTAACATCCCGCTTCTACGATCAGGTGGCGACCGCGATGAGGAAGACGGCTTCGACGGGCTTGTGGTCGCTGATGTTGAACTCCGGGATGACGCTGTACTGGACCGGGATGACCTCTCTGCCATCGCCGGCACGGTAAAGCACGCGGTCGGTCCAGGCGGGCCGCCGCTGCAGGTCGTGGCTGTCGGTGCCCACGGTGTACCTGTACGTCGGCTTGAAGGTGATCTGCATCTCCTCGTAGCCCTTGAAGGCGCGGCCGGCCTGCCGCACGTCGTTCAGCTGGTCTCGCGACAGCAACTCGCCGAGGTTTCCCTTCTGCACCATGTGCTGGATCTTGTTGGCCGTGTAAGCCTGCCCATGCAATCTGAAATTGAAGTCTCCGAACCAGAAGGTGTAGTCCTCTTGCGAACATGAGCGCCCCCTCCTCTTTTCTATGACTAGGAAGTCGTCGATCCTCTTCTCCAACGCCCCATCGTTAGGGTGCAGATGTGCCGCCACGAAGGTCAGCGTACTCTCGTAGAGCAGGATCGTAAGTGAAACTCCTCCTTTGTTTCCGTACAGCCCCTTGAAGCCTGTCCTCACTCTCGCATAGTCAATGACGGATGTTTTCGATTTGTGTCGTTCTTGCACATAAACGTTAAGTACTATTCCTACCATGGCCACATTCCGTATCTGAAATAGTTCATTCTTGGATTATTTATTCTATTCTTTAGATGTAAATATATAAATAAGATCCCTTCCTCACCTTAGAATAGGCCTTCTCACCCATGATCCGATCCAATGCCTTGGTCCACTTGTCTACTAGGATGGTGTTCAAGATGGCTTCGTGTGGTGATACGGCTACTTCTTGCAGGCCGACCGCTATGACGTCTGGGTTCCTCGATAATCCTAGGAGGGGGGTCAAATCTTCCGGTGGCGATCGGTGGTTCACATTCCATGTCGTTATCTGTACCCTGTAAGAATAGAAACAAATAGAAATATCTTTATTTAAAATATTATTATTACTATCTACCAGCCACAATTTCTATTACCTACTTCTACAGACTATCCTTGTACTATTGCATGATTTACTTAATTTTAAAAGTCTTTCACAGAATACCCTTCTAATATTTATGTTTAGGATCGTCTCCTTGCTTATGAACTGAAATAGATCAGTAAGCAGCAGACATTCCTATCTTCATGAAACACCCAGTTCACTACCATTACACTATGACATAGCTCTACGTACCTCAGACAAGACATTCGAAACGAATCCGTCGATACTGAGAAACCCCATGGAGATAAACTAGCACTACCGCGCGACTCTGCTCACCGACCGACTATGACGAGGGCTCTCACCTTAAAGATCACCGATGCCATGCCGGATCCGGGATAACGGTAAGTGCTATGTGTCATAGAACAAATACACTCATTTAGGTGACTGTTGCTTCACATCTCCGGGTTAATACTCATGGGAGAATCGATAAGGGAAACACTAATCCGATTTTTCGAAATAAAGAATTATTGATTTTGAATCATAATTACATCATAGCCCAGTTTCATTAATCGACAGTGCTTATAAATTCAGATTTTTATTATATTAACTTTATTGTTATAGTATTCGATCTTCTGACAGATTGTTAAATTAGCTGAAAACTGAAATGGGATGATGGTAGTCTGTTAAATATATTACTGAACATATAATTGAAGTTTTCATAAAAATCTTGGATACACTATTGCTATGAAATATTTAAAAATTACTTATATCACTTTCTATATTAAACAGCTATAAAAATTTTTCGAGATTTAAATTTACAATTTCCCAGTTTAGTAGGTTTTTTTTGTTGCCAAATTTAGTAACCTCATAATTTTTTTCTGATGAAAATTTAAAATAATGAAGAAATTTAAAATTTAATTGTATAGAAGAGTGGATGATTTTTAGGGGAAATGTTCATTGTTAGGCAAAAATGAAATTTTCAAAAGATTACAACCAAAAATTTAAAAGAGAGTGGGGGACTTGAGTATGTAAAGTCCGATGTAAAGTCAACACCCTTAATTAATTATGGTGAAAACCCTGGCGGTTGAGCGTGATCCTGGTCCAACCACCTCCTCGCACGCTCATTCTTTTGAATCCAAGATCCTTCACGGGTTGAACTGGTAAAGGAAATACAAAACCTCTATTGTTAAAAAGAATATATCATATGTCATTAAGTAAGTTGCATATATTTTAATTTTCAGTTTTAATTAATTTCATTCATCAATGAATCTTTCTTTTACACCGTAACTATTACTATATATATATTTATATCTAATCGGGATGTGGTCTACTAGGATGTCAGTAACCTCCCTGAAGTATGGTCCATGGACGGTCTGTTACGGGAAAAGAAATGTACGTCCTCGTGCGCCTGCTGACTCTGAACAGCCATAATTCATGGATCCAGACCGAGAACTGTCCTTGGACCCTAGTGAGTCGATGAGAAGGACACTGTCAGATTGGCCCCAAAGGGTTCGACTATAGAGTGGGTGCCCTACTGCTGCACCTTGGAGACCATGGTTCCTATCAACGTAAGGTTGGGTGACCTCCTCCAGGCTATCTGTGCTCCCGCAATCAATATACGTCTGTAAGGAGACCATATCTCGTGGCATATATAATATATATATCCTACGTTACTGTATTCATAATAATTATATATATATATTTAATAATATATAATAATATATATATATATATATATATATATGAATACAGTAACGTAGGACATATTGCCTTTTATCGCCCCTTCTCTCAACTAGGTATCCTAGCGAAATTAATTAAGGTCGCTAGCATCTAATTGACATGCTGCATACGTATAGCCGCGACTGTCTGAGTGGGATGGGCGCCATCGTCGACCAGGCTGAACAATGAAGTTTCATGACTCAATGTATATCGATGAAACCAATTTATATTACATTAGAAAAAAATATAATTATTTTAATTTCAATATATAAACATTCATTAATTTTTTTACTAAACTGGTTCTTTTCTTCGAGTATTAAACAATATATAGCAGGGCTTGAAATGGAAAACAAAATTTTATTTTTAAAAAGTTTCGGTATCATTGGAACTTTTATTTTTGATAGATTTTCAGATCTTTTAAAACAAGAACGTTTTTCCTTACGAAATTTCTAGTAAATGGTAACATAACATATATTTAAAAAAAAAATATCCAACAGTTCTGCCTATTTCGCCCAAAAGTCGATCTAAAAAATTATTTTATTTTAGCTACTCAAACAAAATACACATAAGAATCACGTTCAATTAATTTAAGACAGATTATAACGCGAATATAAGCCCAATTGCTGGTTATTTCTCATTTAACGGAACTTTTTTGAAGAGCGTAAATAAATAAATGTTTAACTTTTACCTCGAATCTGTAAATTTGATAAAATACAGTTCCTTAGAACTTTTATTTTGAGAACTTTTTTTCTAAAATGTTTCACAAGAACTGTTAAAAAATGGAACTTTTTAAAAAAGTTTCAACTCCTTATATATAGATATATGTTTTCTCCTTTCCTTTTAGCAAATAATATGGCTCGTTATTTCTGTTCAGGTCGAATTAAATTTGGTCTATGACTATTTTCAATTTATAATATAATATATTTCCCTTATTATACTTCGGCTAATCACATGTCAGTTATATACTAACATTTATTACATATACTGCCACTATGCATTATGAAGAGATAATTATAATAGGCGAGAGACTTTAGAGAACCAAATCGATATGCAGTGGAAAACCCAGCACTTCAACAGCACGATCGATATCGCTGCATGGTACCGTGTGAGGGCAACTAGAAACCCTTCAATGTGAGGTGGAACTTTCTTAACTCAGATACCCATTTTATGTGTTCAGCTACATTGAACATTAAATAAAAGGTACACACTACAGACTGGCAATCATTAGTAGAACATGGACTATACAAAAACGACTATTTTCTAAATAATACTCAATTCAGAACTTAAAGGTCCCTCCTCATTCCCTTTTCTTCAATAGATTCGTATTTAATCTATAAGATGTATTAATAAATACTTAATTCAGATCCAATGTGAGGCATGATTCCTATTATAAAAAGGTGCTGGAAGTCATAAAAGACTTTTATTGGACAACTTTGTTGGAATTAAGTATTTAAAAAAAAACTTCTGCGTCCACTCATATGACTTTCCTACTGATTTCAAACAAAATATAAAACAAATCTGGTGCGCGCAATACACAACTTTCACTTACCGATCTACTTTGAATAGAAATTATTTTCTGGCAATGCTGAGCTATTATAAAATTTTTTGAAGTGCATTTTAAAGGGAGCTAAAGCTTAAAGCTTACAGATAACAAGTCATTAAGACCATTATAATTACAAAATGTCTATTTAATTTATGGAGGACAGGCAATAAAAATCAATTCACTGTATCTGATTTCATAAACCACAAAATGCTCCAATGGCTAACTCCAAATTCAACATTTTTGAGTGATGTCATTTTAGTGATATTTTTAGTTGAAAAAGTTATCTATGCAGACAATGAGTAAGTTGATTCCAGAAGTGGTGATTGTAGTGTTGTAATATAGAACTGAGAATAAAAGTATAAATTTAGGTACTACTTTCTTATGAAAGATGTTCTTAGGAAAGACACTTTATTAAATATCTGTAGAAAAAAAGATTTTTTTAGTCTCAACAATTAAGAAAATATATTTTATATTTATCCAAATTTTCAACTCTTAAGAGAAAATAACTAGAGACCATATCATTTCTCCTAATTGTCCGAATTTAACGATTTTTTTTTTTTTTTTAGAAAATTCCATAAACATTTAAAAAACCATATACAATATCAACAAAAAAGCGTACACTTTTTGAGTTATTGGGAATTTAATTTTAACATTCCTCGTAACGTCTTTTCGTTGAAGTATGTCATATAGATAAATTTAAAGGGTATCGAGAAAATGACTTTAGCGAAGTTTCATTGAAATCGGTAATTTCGTTTAGGCGCTACAGTCTGTAGGAACGCAGATTTTTCTGCATTTTTTTTTTTTTTTCCTTTATTAATTTATCGAATTCTTTCAAAAGTCATATGTAGCATTTTTTCGTAACTCTGAATAATCTGAAATGGTTAACTTTTTAAAATAAACCATATTAAAGGTACTTTAGAGGAAAACATATATGAACATTTAAGCCCTGTAAAGTGACATCAACGGGGATAAGACCTAAATGATATTAAAGACCACTTAATTATACAATGATACACCGAGTTTGATAAAAATCGTTAGAGTCGTTTTTGAGAAAATTGTAAAAATGTGTTTCAGCGTTCATATAAAGTGGCACTTCCGGTTAGCCGATTTTAACGAAAAAGTTGCTGTCACATCCGGCCCATATACAAACCTTAAATACTTAATATCAGTTTCGTACTACTTTTCGTTTATGAGCTAGACTGGTAACACAGACATAGACACACACACAGACACACACACACACACACACAGACCATTTTGCGACACTTAGTTATTTGAACTCAGGGGACCTCAAAACATGTATTTCCGTTGAAAACTGAGATTCCAAAATTTTCACGATCGCAATACTTACCCTTACTATATATTACATATATACGTAAGTGAAAGTAATAAATAAAGATGTTCGTTGAAAAAAAAATTCGATCCGAAAATCTACTCTCCTTATCTGGAGATTTAGGGAAGTAATAACATTAAAGAGGCATTTTAATTACTGGAGTAATTTTCCGACAAGATGATTTGGACGAACATTTAAACATGCATGGCGTTCCTTTTTCAAACACTACCTGAGCCACCAGTGCTGCATCTTTCACACGAGATCTTTGAGCCTGGGAGTCTTTAACATCATATGTGGATGCGTGGTGACTCCTACATTAAGAAGGCCGATCAAAATGTGAGGCAGTACCCCAAAAATTAAGGATTCCTCGTTAGCACACTAA